GCACACTGGGAATGAACAGAAACAGTGATCTGTCTCATCACATCAGGTTGCTCAGGATTTCTCAGCCTGTCGCCCTGGCGATGGTGGTCATGAGAGAGGGATTAGGAAAGGTGTGACTCAGAGACCGTGTAGTTGGATTGTAGATGGACCTGGGTGAGTTGGATTTTCATCTAAGAGTGAGGCAGCGGCCTTATTGGTCCTAACCACTCTTTTTGGATCATGTCTGAATGAAGACATTTTGCTCCTCACTTTTCCCTGTGCTCTTCTTCCTACCTGCCCTCTCTCCCAGGTTCACCTGCAGCCTTAAGACATGTCGCTGTATGACCAGTGCATGCTGTGCTGGCCCAGTGACACAATCCCACTGGTCAGCAGCCACAATGAGCCCTGCTTCAGGCAGTGCCAGAGCTCAGTGCCAGAACATAACCGCTCTGACGCTCTCTCAATACACTGCCGTTTAACCCCAAGCTCTGCAAGGGGACTTCCAAGCACCAGAAGTGTCTCCCAGCGAGCATGTCTGCAGCTGTGCCCCAGGCTCACCCCACACACCGTGTCACACCCCCTGTCCCTCCCAGCTCTGCAGGCCATTGGCTGCCTTTGCTGCAAGGGTGCACTGCTGGTTAGTGTCCGGCTGGGTTCTTCCTGCACCCACAATCCCTTCATGTGGGTCTGCTTCCATGGCAGCCAGCCCCCACCCTCCATTATTCTGTGGGTGCTTCCTGACTAAGAAGAAAATTCTTTTCTTTGCTTCTTTGCACCATCATGAGGTTCTGGTCAACCCCTTTTTCCAGCCTGCCCGTGTTCTCCGAAGCCCCCTTGTGACCTACGCTGTTACCACCTGTGTGCTCCAGCTGGGGACCATGCACATATTGGCCAAGGGCGCCCTCTTTCTGACAGTTTCTGATGGATAAAAGTAGCCATGAAGGAGCTTAGATTGCATCTGAAGGAAGGAGAGCAGTTTGGTGGTGGTAAATTCATGGTGTTGTTTGTATTTACAGAAGATCTTCTTCAAAAATGGCTCCTGGTATGGAACACATGCACTCATGGATCGTGACAAAAATTCCAAATGTACCTCAGGAGCCAGGGACTGGTCTGTTGTTGGCAGCAGCCAGGTGCAGTCTAGGCAGGCAAGGAACAGGGAAAGTGGTAGAGGAGGCGCAGGCATCAAGGAAAGTGACTTTCAAGCATATAGCTGGAGCACATGGGTCAGCAGGGCCAGCTGTCAGGGCATGGACTTGCTCCAGCATGGGGAGCACAGAGAGGAGAAGGGAAGTGCAGATGGAGAGGGAAGGAAGCTTTGCATCTCTCCATCAAATTTCAACACCTGTCAGTTAGCAGGCCTCTCTCTTAAAGTGTTAGTAATTTGAAAGAAGGAGTGGGAGCAGGACTGTGTGGAGGTCTCCCTGGTGCTACACACAGCTCATACTGTCATGTGTGTTCCTTCCCTCACCTGACATCACTGCATGTGCCGTCTTGCCTCCTCACACCGAGATGGGTCTGACCCACATCAGATGCCATTGTCTGATCTGTAAGAACTGAAGGGGCTTGGAGGGGCCGGGATGGGGCCTGGCTGGCAGGTGAACCTCCAGGGCATAATTAGCATAGTGCTGACATGATAGAGTTATTCTGTGCATCCTCAGAGGCTGGTTGCAGTAAGGGAATCTGTTTAAGTGCCCTGTGCTCATGTGTGCTCCTGGGTGTCATGACAGAAATAAGCTTGCATCATACTGGGAGAAGATACAAGATTTTTTCTTACCTAAGAAAAGATTTTTTTCTTACCTTACCTTCTTTCTGTATGTAAGAGAAGGTGCCTGTATTGAGGAAACTTCCAGGGTGAGAAGGTAAGATGCAGCAGATATGGAAGGAATCTGTTCCATGGTTGTCCCTTTGGCAACTTAACCTGCAACCTTAGATGTTGGCAACACCAGAGCAGCATGGTGTGATGACTGTAAGAGAAATAGCATGGAGGGTGTAGCAGCGTGAGGACACCATGGCCATGCTCTGCGATATCACCACAGGGATGGGGAACTTGATGGTACAATGGGCCTAACAGACTGCATAGCCAGCCCTGAGCCAAACTGATAATCACGGATGAACTTTGCTCATTATAATCTCATTATGATGCCAAAACACACCTCCAGCCCAAAGGCTAGACACCCCCAAGGTGCAACTACCCCTCACTGAGCATGCACTCTGAATTTCTCTAAGCTCAAACCTCTAAGGCAAAGTGAGAAATTTTTATACCCTTAGTAGCAAAGGTATGTATGACTAGAGTCACTCAAGCTCTACCTAAAAGTAAGAAAGTAGTATGAAAATGGCCCAAGGGACGAAGAATTTTAGAGAAGATACCATCACAGACCAGTCAGGACATTGCTGACCTCTGGGATCTGTCAATGTGCTGAAGCTCTCTTCCCTCCATAGGGACACCTCTTGAGTGAGATCAAAACCTTTGTTATACCAAATGCTTCCCCAGGAAACCTAGCATTGCCAATAGAGTTATTTCATAAGTTAACTTACATGTAGTTGATTGTGCTAGTTCTCGATATTTCAACATGCTTTGCAAGCAGTGTGTTTATCACCAGTGATCCAAAAGAACCTCCAAAAGGAGCACAAGAAGGCAACACACATCCTGTATCATTAGCTGGGATGTTTTGAATTTAAGAGGAGCTTGTCAGAAAATAGTTCCATTAATCTTAAGAATGCTGCAAGAAAAGCAAAAAGTAAAATAAACTTCTAACAAGCAAGTTTTTTTCTCTAGTTTCTCTACTTTTCCCAGTACATTTTTTTCTGAACAAAGTCACTGAATGCTCAGAAGATGATAACAGTGATTTAAATGCATTTCTTCTTTGCTCTAAGCAATACTGATCTTCCTTGTGGGATCTTTTGTTTCCTGTATTCATTCTACCTTTATAATTCTCAAACTGGAATTCAGAGGCTGCCTGGTCAGCCCCAGCCATATTCCCAGGCAAGAACCAGAGGGAAAGCATTGTTCCTGCAGAGGTGTTCAATGTCTCCAGAGAATCCTTGGGGCAATGATCCCGGGGGTAGGTCAGACCCTTGCTGAGACAAGGCTGAGGCTGGTGCTGCCTTTCCTGAGAGCACAGAGAAAAGAGGGCCCATGGCTGTCCCCTGCTGGGAGCTGCCTGGGCCAAGCTTTTCTTTCTCCTGGTTGCTTTGCTTCTTGCTCTTGCAAGCACACAACAGAGTTTCCTCAAGCCTGAGGATGTCAAAACACCATATTCAACATGGTTTGTGAGACAGAGAAGCTTCAACAGCACAGCCTCGTTTCTCCTGTCTGGTCTTGGCATTTGCATCCTGCAAGATGCCCTTCTTCGCCCAGACATGCAAATCCCCCATTGCTGCAGGAGCTGGTCACTACACCACTGCTTCACTACGACACTGCTCCCTGTACAGGAGCTGAAGATCATCACACATGCCCCCAGCTCCTGTGAGAAGATGACATCTAATGCAACAGGTTGTAGGTCTTCATTTATCTCTTGCTCTGATTGCTTAAAGTGGTGAACATGGAGAACTCTTAGGCCTTTGGCACTAAGGGCTGTTCTATTTTTTCTGTCCCTCAGGCACAGGCTTTGGACATGGACTAGCTGAATGTAACCTGGAGATAACGTGGTGGCTGGGATGTGAATCAAGTTTACCGACTGACTCATTGAAGAGAGGGAAGAACCCTGCAAATCTCTGTCAGAATTTGTTCTAGGGGCCTGGGGCCTGGGCCTGGGGCCCAGTTTGAGAATTTGTTCTGGGCTGGCCTGGCCAGGGCTTGGAGCAAGCTGCTAAATCATGGGCTGCTATGAATTTACTCACCCTGGGGATGAAGGGCTTAGAGCAAGCTCCCGAGGGAGTCTTGGTTCCCAGCACGCTTTGCCCTATTCTGGCAGTCTGGAAAGGGTACAACAGCAGAGCACTGTGGTCCAGGTCAGCCAGTCAGTCAGCCCTCTCTGCACAGCCATTACAAACAGACACTAGCCTGTTTGGGAAAGAGGATCTGCCTGGCAGATCTCAGGGTCCACAAGGGAAGAAGCACTACCAGGGGAGAGCTGAGGGCCCAATACCAGAGCTCTGCCTTGCACAGACACATCCTCTCCCCTTCTGGGGTTGTTGCACAGCCAGTGTACCTCCCTGCACTAGGGTGTCACGCACAGCACAGAAGTACAAGGCGCTGTCAGAGAGCTCGACTTCCTTCAGTTGCAGAACACTGGATTTCCTCTCAGTGTTCAGCTCTGTGGTAAAACGGTCCTTCTGCTTGGTGCCTACTATGCCTTGATGTGAAATCAGCTGAGGGACTTGGCCCTTCTTCTGCTGGTACCAGAATAAGCCCTGAAAGTTGGAGCTTTGGTATGTGCAAGTGGTCTGGAAGGTATTTCTGTGCTCCACGGTGACTTGTCCTTCTTGCTGTTTCACAGACACCTGCCCTATGGTTTCTGGAAGAAAGAGAAAGTCAGCAAATCTGTAGGGAAGTCTCCAGACAGCCAAACAAGAGTGGATTTAGACACGTGGGAGATAAGTTTACCAGGACGGAGCCCTGCCTGTGCCGACAAGCAGGAGGACATTGGAGGCCATGGCAGGAACACATCAGGCAGAAGACAGACTGGACACCCTGGTAATGTCCATGGGAGGAGAGCTTTCATGTCCTGTATTGACTTGGACACAATCTGTCTTTTTCTATAGGAAAGGGAGAAATGAGGGACTGCAGAGACTGATGAAATCTTCTCTGGTGACAGTAGGTAGACCAGAAGAGAGAGGCAGAAAAGGGATGGACTGAAAGGATGAGAGAAGCAGGAGAGGTCTCTTCTCCATCTCCTCTTTCTAAATTTCGAAGAATAATGGCATCATGAGAGAACTGGTCCAAGAACCAGAAACAGGAAACAACATTTACCAACATTTTCCCTGCGATTCATAAACTCTTCCCCACATAAATGTGATAAGGCTGATGAGGGCTTCCTGGGAAAAGAAGATTTATGTCTTGATTAAAAGCCAGCACTTACCCAGCAGGAGCTCCAGGAAGGCAGTGAAGACGAGATACCCACGGTGCATGCTGAGACTGACCCTCCTGTTTACTGCGGGAGGGAGAGTCAGAAAAGCACCTCCCAGCCCCAAGAGAACAGAGCTGCCGGAAATGACTCTGCTGGGGGAACAAGGGCAGATTCAGTGACAAGATATATTCTGGTCTGACTGTGCCCCAAATGCTCCCTGGGGTTTCTCCCTCCTCCAGCAGGAGCAACCTCTGAGGATTGTCACAGTCAGGGGAACTCTGGGAGCCGCATCATGTGCAGGGGCTGCTCTCGTCTCCTCTCCCAGTGGGGTCCTCACCTCCCCAGCTACATCTGCCTTCTCTTCTTCACACACACTGCTAGGACATGGTTGATATCAGGGCAGTCTTCTCCACTGAGATTGTGCACCTTCACCTGGGGTCCTCAGCTCCATGGGGATGTTCCTGTTTCCTGTGGGAGGACAAGACACTTTGATTTCTCTCCCACATCCCCAGAAAGAAGGGAGGAATCATGCTATGCAGCAGCCCAGGGTTTCTGGCTGTGTCCTGTTCTGGTGGGATAACCTAGCATTTGCAAGAGGAACGGGGCTCCACTGGGGTGTTGGATGGCACAAGCCCAGAGGGGACAAGGACAACCTGTTCCATAGGGCGAGGGGTGAGGAGTCAGCAGGGAAAAGGATGTGGGTTCAGTGGGTCACATGCATTTAAAATGATGGGCCACAGGGGGCACCCACCCAGGGCCACATCCCTGGCAGTTTCTGCTTCCCTGATGCTTGGGCTCCCTCTATCACCACCCCTAACACCTTGTCTGGCTAGGCTGTGCCTGGCTAGTTGCATTGTCTCCCCCCATACCTCCCTCAGCACACCTCAAATGTGGAATTCTCAGACACCCAAACGAATGACTCTCCAAGCCCTGCAGACACCTGGCGATGTCCCCTCCCTCCTCTTGCCCACCCTCCACTTCCTGGCTTTGGAGGGGTTGAAGAAAGAGTCTTGATGCTGTGACAGCACTGCTCCATAACTACTCAAACATTGGAGCGATGGCAGTGGAGTTCTAGCTCCAAGTACAGAGTACAGCATGCTAGGGACTGCTGTAGGGATCGTTAATTCTATCCCAGGCAGTCCCAGTACAGCTCCATAAATCAGGGTTCCCAGCTTCAGGAAAAAAAAAAAAAAAAAAAAAAAAAGCCTATGCTATTCCCTTTTTCTTTGAGAGTTTGGCTCCATTTGACTTTTGAATATATCACCTAGCAATGCAATTTGAATAGACAGCTAAACACAAAGATTAGACGTATTCTAATATGAACTCACTGTGTAGTATCCTAATTACAAGAGTAAAAATCACTCCCCTGTGCAGGGAGACCCTGGCCCAACATGGGACTCTTCCTCTCTGAGGATGTGCAGAAGGAAAAGTGCAGATGCTTATTCATCCCTGTACACTCGTTGCTCCTGACATCTCCCAGACTGTCTCCTGTACTGGTCTGCAGCCCCTGCTCTCCCTACAGAAAACACTTCTAGTTCTTCCAGGGAGGCAGGACTCCAATTTCCCCCCTCCAGAAATGATGGGATGCCATCTTGACCCTAGCTTGCCCTGCCTCAAAGTCACATCTCACCAAAGTCTGACAGTGCCAACAAGGCTGCCAGGAAAAGCAGGACCATGTCACGCTCTCGCCTTCACAGGGTGCCCACGTAGTGCCTGGAAAGAGGGAGCTCAAGCTTGCAAGTTCACTTCCCCCTCTGCCAGCTCAAAGCAGCCTCTAAACCTCAGCACAGAGGGTGGAGCAAAGCTCTCCCCCTAGTCTCAAGACTAGTGGTTAAAGCAGTCAGAAAGGAATCCAGCCAATCTTTGCTTTTGCCTAGGATCCCCATGGCCAGCCAGAAGTGTTCAAGCACAGGGAGCGTCACACTTGTGCAGTTAGCTCAAAACTGCAGGCCTGTGAAGGCTAGGACATTTCACCTGGTCAGCGGTAAGGCAAAAGGGCAACGACATCGCCCCTGTCTGCTTCCCTCTTCTGGCCCCTTCTGGCAGGTGGGCAGCCCCAGCAAGGGGTAAGTGTCCCCATTGGCCTCCCTCTGCCATCCAACCTGCAAGGGGACTTCCAAGCAACGCCAGGATGCCCACGTGGCTCCGGCTCTGGCTGTGTCTCTGGCAGGCTGCTGCCATCTCCGTTCAGCTGCACCCAGACTCCAGACCCTTTCAGCAGAACCAAAGTGCCTTGGAGGGGCCGGGCTGGCGGGGGAACCCCCGCGGCTGCGGGACGAGGTGGTCCTGGCGGGCGGAGCGGCAGCGCCCCCTGGGGGCTGTGCCCCTGCCTCGCCCCCGCCACACACGCCCGGCCCCGCCCGCCACGGTTCCTGCACGGCCGCAGCCCCGGCTCCTCTCCCCGTGGCTCTCAGGGCGCAGTAATACACCGCCGCGTCCCGAAGACGAGGCTGGGTGAGCCACAGGGCGCTGGACCGGCGGTCTCCTGCCACCGAGAGCCGCCCTGCCGGGTCCGTCACATCTTGAGACCCACTACGAGCCGACACGAGGAATGCGGGTCCTCGGCCCGGGAACTGACGGAACCAGTAGATGTAGTCGTATGACTGGATGTTGGGATGTGAGCAGGCGATGTTGATGCCGGAGCCCTCCCTGGTCTGTGCCCGTGGCTCCTGCTGCACCTGGGCTCTGCCTGCAGCCACTGCCAAGACGGAAAGAAGGAGAAAACTCAGAAAATGGCTTTGCTTCCACCAAAAATGTCAGGAAACGGGAAAGGGCAGAAGAAAACGGTTGATAGCCGATGCAAGCTTTTTCTCAGAAGAATGCACACAAAGGACATTTCTCTGGGAAGGGTTATTTAGGGACCAGGTCGGAGCAGGGCTGTTTGGAAGGAGAGTCCGAGCCAGGAGAAGGGAAGCAGGCAGGAATGAGTGGGGGTGTGCCGAAAGGAGAGGAGGGAGGCAGGGAGCAAGGCAAGGTGGGAGGCAACGGCCGGCTGAGCTCGCTGGAGGCAGGCGGGATGGCTGCAGAGGGAGGCCAGAGGGGAGCGAGGTCCGTAAGAAGCCGGCGGGCCAGAAGCGAGGGCAGCCCCGTCCCGTCCCGTCCCGTCCCGTCCCGTCCCGTCCCGTCCCGTCCCGTCCCCGGCGCCGGCAGCCCCGCGCACCCAGGAGCACCGCGGCCAGCGCCGCCAGCCCTGCGGCCCGGCCCTGCCGCATCCCGCCGCTCCGCCGCCCGCGCCGCGCTGCCCCCGCCAGCCCCGGCTCTGCTCCGCCCGCGGCGCCTCCTCCCCGCCGCCGCCGCCCGGCGCCGCCAGCTCCGCCCCGGGGCCGCTCGGGGGCTGGCCCGGGCTGCGAGTGCTGGGCGCCTGTGGGCGGGCAGGGCTTCGGCTGCTGCCCGCGGGGCTCTGCCCGTCCTGCAGCCCAGCCCGGGATAGGAGAGGGAGTGGGAGTTGGAGCGGGAGATGGAGCCGGAGCGAAAGGGCGAGGGAGCGGAGACAGCGGCTGCCCGTCTGCTACGGCATCTCCTTTGGGAGTGGGAAGGGGAGAGGAGGGCAGTGAACGGGGTAGGAGATGAGTAGGGAGAGAGGAGAGAAGCGGGAGAGGAGAAAGCAGCTGCCTGCCTGAAGCGTCCCCAGTGGAGGGCAACGGGTCAGGCTGGGCTGGGCCTGGGAGCTTGGTGCTGTGGTGCGCTGGTATCACAGCTGTGGCCGGCACTGCTGCAGGTGTGGAAAGCCAGCAGCAGGAACGGGTCTGGGGACACAGTGCCCCGACAGCACCCCAAACCGTACGGGGCCCTGCTGTCTGGCACTGCCCATTGAGCTGTCATCGTCGGTCGAGCGTCTCTGCCCAGATTGAGGGGCACAGTTGCCACTTTCCCATTTACAGGCTTCACGGCAATAGTAGCTGAGCACGTACCCAGGAGACACACAGGCAGGGACAAGCATGCCCATTTGGGGAAGATAGACGCAGGCCAGTACCCCCAGTAGCTGCTTTTGGAGACCCCAAATGGACTTGCCACATTTTCCTGGAGGCTGAGACCCCCTTTCCCTGCTCCAGGAGCTGCACGGGGACCCCTGGCTCCAGCAGCTGACAGCACAGGGCAGGGATGTCCTCGCGCTGAGTCTGACTCCAGCGGCTAGCATCAAATCCACTTCTGCCACTCCATGAGGAATTGCTACGTTCTCCTTGCAGCACATGTGTGCATGGGACAGAGCGAGATTATGGAGACGTAAGGAAATATTCCAGAAGAGGACAGGACAGACAGCGGTGCTCATGTGCAGGGCCCAGCCATGCAAGTACAGGCTGCAGCCCCTTTTACACCCTGCTCTGTCTGCCCTAGTGTGCTCCTCCCGGCTCCCATTTCCCTGCACGTCCCCTCATGGGGTTGTATAGGTCTGTCCTGCACCCACCCCAGCGTGTGTCCTAGCCCACAGCTGTAGGAGGTGCAAGGCCCAAGCTGATCTCCCTGTGGCTTCTTGATAGGCCACCAACTGGTGTTGTGACTGCCCACATTTGATCTCCTCTCTTCCTCCCTCATCATCTATCAGTCAGGTTTGTATCCGTGTGTGTTGTTTCCAGCTTCCTGCAGTTCTTTCTCTCGGCCCCCCTCCCAAGTGCTGAAGGGCTGCTTCTAGGGTAGGAAACAAGGAGGGAGGAGCTGAAAGGTAAGAAAGAAAATAAGGGCTGCTGTGGAAGCAGTGATGGCAGCTTCCCCAAGACCTCCATGTCAGAAGAGAGTAGAGAAAACAGCATGGCCCTGAAAGCAGAGACAGCGAACACAGCAGAGGAAACAAAGAAACAACCTCCCTCTGTTTCTCAGGTTTCGCATGGCTTCCTTCACCTTCTCGGTCTTTACGCTGTAGGTTGGTGCATGGAGCAGAGGGAATCACAGCCCTGGAGAAGATGGACACCACTTTGTTGTGGGACAAGTTGGCAATGGGGTGGGTATACAGGAGGGAACATAGCCCCCGGCATGATACAAGTGCAGGGAAGTGAGAGTGAGCAGACAGTGTCTTGTGTCTCCTCACATGTCTACATTCAGAGGGAGACCAGGAGCACCCTGCAGGAGCTCAAGGAGCACAGGAAAACTGGTGGTGCTGTTGTATTTAAGGAGCACAGCAGTCCAGAAACTCTCTGCAGAAGGCAGCTGCATGACTGACAGCAAGTCCCAGAAGAAGCTGTGATTGTGTAGGGCCAGAGCAGGGCAAACGAAGGGTGAGCGCCGCTTCCATGTATATTTCATCCATATAACCAAACCTACCAATTTCTGAAATTGCACGCATTAGCCCCAGACTAAGTATGCTTCATCTCCAGAGTTCAGCTCTGTTTCCTTTGAATCCCCCTGTGAGGTGGGCGTAGACAATACACGTCTGTTTGGCTTTCTGTGTGGCACCCACAGGGTCTGTCCTTCCTCCCACAGCACAGCAACACCAGGACCCATGTTCCTCTCGTTCGATGCCATTTCTGCCCAAGGTTTCAGACCCTTCATGACTCAGCACCAGGCCCATGAGTCACAGATGTATGTGTGGCATTGGTTTCCCCATGGGGGACCTCTGTCCCAACCCACACACCACTTACACTGCACCGGCAGCAGATCCACACAGGGCTGGGCCTGCACAAAGATGGCAGGATTTCTCAGCCCTTCTCCTTGTGCATAAAGCTAATGCCATCCTTTTGAACACTCTAGCCATGGGGAGTGCAGCTGTGTCCTGGCCTGGAGAGGCAGGGAGGGGTGACTGCCACCATGCTCTTACACTCTGAATCCTGTGGTACAGAATTAAAGAAAGCATCCAAACTGTTGTGGGCCCATCCTTGTTGGGGACTGACATTGGCAATGAACATCTTAGGGTCAGGAGAAAGAGGGCTTCAGATACAGAAGGCTGCATTTCAGCATATGTGCTGTGGGCACTTCTGGGCTGTTTTTGTTCTGTGATTGTTCAGCTGTTCTCAGGTTCCTTCTTGCTCTCTTCTTGCCAACTAAACATCCACCACACAGCTCTCTCACACCTTCTGCTGAAAGCAAGATGTGGGGAGAGAATGTGATTTAAGCTAAAGGGCTTACAAGTATAGATAGGGACAATATAATTAAATGAAAAAGGAAGCATAATTATAAAACTAAAGAGTGAAAAGTATTTGGAAACAAACTGAGAGAAAATTATACTCCACTTCCCATCAGCAAGTGATGTTCGTCGAAGTCTTTGGAAGCACTGACTTAGTATGCCCACCCCTATTTTTCCTTCCCCTTTCACATCTTTCCTGCTGAGTGTGACATCATTCAGTACGGAACATCCCTTTGGTTGGTTTAGGTCAGGTGCCCTGGTGATGTCCCCTCCCAACCTCGTGCCCACATGCATACCTGCTGGCTTTGTGGGGCTTGGAGAGAGTCTTGATGCTGTGTCAGCACTGCTCCACTATAGCCCCAACGTTGGTGTGATGGCAGTGCTTTTCTATCTCCAAGTGCAGAGCACAGCACTCTAGGGGCTGCCGTGGGGAATGTTGAGTCTGTCCCACATAGCCCCAGTACAGGCCAGTGCCCACAAGGGACGAACATGTGCATGAACGTGACACAGTGTACAGCAAAGATTCTGGACAGCATTTGAGCAAAGCACATGGTTTGACGTGGTAGAGAGGGGAGGTGGACTGGGAGCCTTGCAGAAGGCGCTGGAGCCAGGGCTCTTGACAAGAGAATGTCAGCTTTCTTGGGCCTTGAACTTAAGGCCTGAGAATCCTATTTGTTAGCCTGAGTAGCAGTGGCAAGGAAAGTGCTGGAGTGCCCCGACTGATCACTGGTGGGTGTCATGACAGAAATAAGCTTGCGTCATGTAAGGAGATGGTGTATGATTTTATTCATTCTTTTTTTGAAGCAAAAAATGAAAGGCATCAAGTTATGGGAGTGAAGAAGGAATTCCCTATGGACAGGATCTGCAGTGTGTGTCTTGGGAAAACCCACCCGGCTCTGTCCGATGCTGGTAGAAGGCAGGATCACCTGCACATGAAAGCATTCCTTTCTGTGTACATTCATCTTGTTATTCCTTCTAACTAAAACAGCCACTGACCCGTTGGGCCTTTCTTTTGTGATCCAGAAAGGGCCCTGCACAACCTCTCCCCCTGTACAGACACCCCTGGGTCAGAGCAGGAGGAGGCAAAACAGGCCAGCAGGATTTTCCTGAGGGCAGTGTCAGCAGGGTTAGGGTCACAGGCAGGAGCTGGGTCACCTGTAGCCAAAAGGGCCCCAGAGAGTCCCTAGGGAGTCACCCAGACTGACAACATATGCTTTTACTGGACTCTTCCAGCACGTGAGCTGAGTCTTCTGCCCACACTGACATGTGTTGCCTGGAAATACTTGGGCCTCCCTGCCTGCCACTCAGGAGTTGCCTTCTTTGGGGAAAGGGCATAAAGCAGGAAATGAAAAGCAGCATCACAGGAAGGCAACACACATCCCGTATCATTAGGTGGGATGTTTTACATTCAAGAGCAGCTTGTCAGAAAGTAGTCCCTGCTTCAAGGGATGCCTCTGGACATGGGGCAGCTAAGGCCCACTATAAAAGCCAGCCCAGCTCCGTGCTCTCTCATCCACTTCTCTGGCCTTCTTCTTGTTGGGATCCAGGTGAGTGTGAAGCCCCTTCTTGTCCCCCTCATTCTTCCACAGGAGGACTCAGTTCCTTGGACCTTTCAGCTGCTATCAGCTGTGTGCCCTGCCATATCTTGGGACTGCTGGTTGTGGGAGAGTCAAGGGGTAGAAGGTTTGTCATGGAGGAAGATTGGGCCTTTGGTGTGATGGCTCTTATGCTGGAGCCTAGCGTGTATCCTGGCTGTGGTGGCTCTTTTTGGGCCCTGTCAGGATGCAGCCAAGAATGCCTCGCACATCCCTACACAGCCTCCAGCTGCCTGTGCCTTGGATCTGTTAGGGTGGGGTGACTGGCTGCTCCTCATGCATTTCCATGTTAAACTTCCTATCTGCCCTCTCTCCCAGGTGAACCTCCTGCCCCCAGACATGTCCTGCTACGACCAGTGCCGGCCATGCCAGCCGTGCGGCCCGACCCCGCTGGCCAGCAGCTGCAACGAGCCCTGCGTCAGGCAGTGCCAGAACTCCACCATCGTCATCCAGCCCTCTCCCGTGGTGGTGACCCTGCCTGGCCCCATCCTCAGCTCCTTCCCGCAGAACACGGCTGTGGGATCCTCCACCTCTGCTGCTGTTGGCAGCATCCTCAGCTGTGATGGTGTCCCCATCAACTCTGGGTGCTGTGACCTCTCCTGCATTACCAGCCGCTACTGTGGCAGCAGGTGCCGCCCCTGCTAAAGATGCCAGACAGTGCCCCAGACCAGGACCCCAGGAACTCACAACATGCTGCTGGCCAAAATGGATGGAAGAAGAGACCTCATGTTGTTGTTCTAAGAGGACCTGACCATCTCTGGCTTGTCCTGTAAAGACAGATAGGAAGGGGCCAGCCTGGAGTCTATGACAACATGGCCAATGTCTTCCTATCCTGTTTTCTACACGCTCTTTTTCTTTCTTTGCTTTCTTGCCCTCTCCTTTGTGTGAGGCCCCCAGAAACCAGTCTGGAGAGACCTGGTAGACCCTCTCCCCATGTGGGCCAGGTAGATTGATGCCCTGTTGCAAGTCTGCCATTGGAAAAGCTGAACAGATTTTTGTCTGCTCCTGCTTGCTACGATCTTGGGGCCTCCTCTTGGAGTCACCTCCTTTCCCTCCTGAGCCTTGATAAACATTTGCAGCAACCCTGAGTGTGTCCCTGTGTGGTCTTTTCATCTGGATACTGATGGCCAAGGGAGAAAACCATTCCTTAGTGGGAATAGGCTGGGGGCACTGCCTCATTCCTCTAGGCACTGGAGGGTGGGGCATACTGCAGCAATTCCTCTTTCAGGCAGTGTCTCTTGAAGGTGAGGAAGACATCCCTAGTTCCATCACAGCCAATAGCCACCAGTCCGTGACTTGTGGCATCTCCGCCTAGACAATCGCTGTTCACATTGTAGGCCCCGGCTCTTGGGGAAGAGTGTTCGTCTTGCTTTGGGTGGAGCTGTGCTGGGGATGGAGGCTGAGACCAATATGATCCCAAAGGACTGCAGAAACTGGGAATGGGTAATTGTCTTGGCAATGGCCCTCTGTCCCTCATCGACTTTCACATTTCCTCCACCACCTAATCATGGGCATCTTGTCTGGGCATGGAGAGCAGGAACAGCTTCCCCGTGCATCCCCATGACACTTCAGCACAGCGTCTGGCATGACCCAGCTGTTACCAAGATGCATAGGGCTGAGGGGATCCACAGGTTCGTACTGGTACCAGTCCCATTAGGCCACACACTGGAGCCCCCAGGTCCTGTGAACTCAATTCCTTTTTTAGGAAGGCAGGCCCAGGGCAGGGACCAATGCCCAAACACTCATGTCTGCTCAGTCTTGCTTTATTTTCCCCAAGCATGGATCAGCTTTCATCAGGCCCTGGAATTCAGAGACCTCATAGGTGGCACAATTGCACCATGCTCCAGAAAAGACATTCTGTGGGGGCAGGGATCCCAGAGTCTCTGCTGAGACATAGCAGTGAGAATGGGACCTGATTGTGCACTCAGCAAGATCTGTGTATGGGCCCTGAATGTCACAGGGTATGCACCAGCCCAACCACAGGGCACACGCTGGGGGATCTTCTCCCAGGCACCAAGCTCCTCTGGCGTTCCCAGAGCCATGAGGATGATGTGGCCCTTGTGCTCCATGTAGCCCCACTGCTCTCCACACCCAGGTGAGGGCCTTCCCATAGTTGCACACCTCGGGGCCCTGTGGTGTGGGGGTGCTTTACTTTCACAAGGACTCTTGGCCCCTAGTCCAAAGACTCTGCTCATGCTCAGGCCTAGCATGGCATTGCCCCAGCTCTGCTGCCTGTGTGCCTGTGCCTGGGCTGGCCAAATCTTGTCAGCTTGGCCTAGCCAGCCTCTTAGGTGGTGCAGGGCCATCACTGGATGGAGCCTTCATCCAGGCCTCTCTGGAGTCTGGCCTATCAGGTATTAGCCCCGGCCCAGCTCTCACACTGGGACCGAGACTTTCTACGCGTAACACATCCATTGCTTGGGTTAGAGCAATAATCAATAGGTGCTTCTGAGCCAGAATTATCTCCTGGCTAACACTGAAGTCTGAGATGGAGGAGCATATTCACAATTTGGAGATTCACAATTGTCTTGGAAATGACAGAATCCTTCTGGAGAACAAGTCCCCTCCACATCCAGAGTTGTTGCACAGCCAGGGCACCTTCCTGCACCAGGGTGTCACTCACAGAACAGAAGTACAAGGCGCTGTCAGAAAGCTCGACTTCCTTCAGATGCAGAACACTGGATTTCCTCTCAGTGTTCAGCTCCGTGGTGAGACGGTCCTTCTGCTTGGTGCCTGCTCCTGCTTGACGTGTAATCAGCTGAGGGGCTTGTCCCTTCTTCTGCTGGTACCAGAGCAAGCCATTAAAGTTGGAGGTTTCATATGTGCAATTGGTCTGGAAGGTGTTTCCCTGCTCCACGGTGACTTGTCCTTCTTGCTGGATGACGGACACCTGCCCCGTGGTTTCTGGAAGAAAGAGAAGTTCAGCAGTTCTGTGGGGATATCTCCAGACAGCCAAACAGGAGTGAATTCAGACCTGTGGGAGATAAGGCCCCCTGTCCTTTACTGGGCTGAAAGGTCCCCAGGGCTGGGGCACAGCAAGGTGGTTTGGGGGCAGAGCTCAGAGCTCCCTGGCCAGAGCAGACTCTGAGGAGAGCTGTGCTGTGTGCCTGCTCCTCCTGCCTCACACATCAGGCAGAAGACAGACTGGACACCCTGGTAATGTCCATGGGAGGAGAGCTTTCATGTCCCTGTATCCACTTGGACACAATCTGGCTGTTTCTATAGGAAAGGGAGAAATGAGGGACGGCAGAGACTGATGAAACCTTCTCTGGTGACAGTAGGTGGACCAGAAGTGAGACGCAGAAGAGGGATGGACTGAAAGGACGAGAGAAGCAGGAGAGGTCTCTTCTCCATCTCCTCATTCCAAATTTCGAAGAATAACAGCAATGTGAGATAACCAGTCCAAGAACCAGAAACAGGAGACAACATTTACCAACATTTTCCCTGTGATTCATAATCTCTTTTTCACATAAATGTGGTAAGGCTGACGAGGGCTTCCTGGGAAAAGAAGATTTACGTCTTGATTAAAAGCCAGCACTTACCCAGCAGGAGCTCCAGGAAGGCAGTGAAGATGAGATACCCACGGTGCATGCTGAGACCGATCCTCCTGTTTGCTGTGGGAGAGAGTCAGAAAAGCACCTCCCAGCCCCAAGAGAACAGAGCTGCCGGAAATGACTCTGCTGGGGGAACAAGGGCAGATTCAGTGACAAGATATATTCTGGTCTGACTGTGCCCCAAATGCTCCCTGGGGTTTCTCCCTCCTCCAGCAGGAGCAACCTCTGAGGATTGTCACAGTCAGGGGAACTCTGGGAGCCGCATCATGTGCAGGGGCTGCTCTTGTCTCCTCTCCCAGTGGGGTCCTCACTTCCCCAGCTACATCTGCCTTCTCTTCTCTCTTCTGCACAGGCACTGTTTGGCCATGGCTGATGTCAGGGCAGTCTTCCCCACTGAGATTGTTCATGGAGAAGTTTGGGTTCTGCATGGCAGCTTGCCTGAATAGGCACAGAGCTCTGCTGTGCTGTCCAGAGCTGTGCTGTCCACATCCTTTGGCACGTGGTAGTGTGCATGTGGCAAGTCTGTAGGAGTGAAGCAACGTGTTGTTGTTCAATGATTAGAGTTCTCCATTTCAAAGAAGAATTACACAAAAGCCCAGAAAATCTCCAAAGATAACAATGCCAGTGAATCTCAGCAGGAACAGGATCTGCAGCATGTGCCTTGCCCTGACAAGTGGTCTGTCTTATGTTCCTTGGTGAGCTCCACCACAACCACTCTCTTACTCCCCCTCATCAGAAGAGGGTGAGAAGAAAAAAAATTAATATAAGGGAAAAGTAAGAGAGAGAAATAAGCAAGGGCTGCACAGAAGCACAGAGAGAAAAGAAAATTATTCTCTACTTCCTCTCAAAAAGTGATGTTTGGCCATCTCCTGGCAAGCAGGGCCTTAATACTCATAGCGATTGTTTGGGAGGACAGATGTCTTCATAATGAGAGCTCCCCGCTTTCCTTCCCCTTTCCTGCCTTTTATTGCTGAGTGTGACATCACATGGTATGGAATATCCCTTTGGATGATATGGGTCAGCTGCCATGGTGATGTCCCCTCCCTCCTTTTGCCAACCCTCCACTTCCTGGCTTTGGAGGTGTTGGAGAAAGAATCTTGATGTTGTGCCAGCGCTGGTCCATAATTGCCCAAACATTGTTGCGATGGCAGTGGAGTTCTAGCTCTAAGTGCAGAGCACAGCACCCTAGGGGCTACTGTGGGGAATGTTAATTCTGTCCCAGACAGTCCCAGTACAGCTCCATAAATCAGGGTTCCCAGCATCAGAAAAAAACCTTGCCTATGCTATTCCTTTTTTCTTTCTTGTGTTACCTCCAACTTACGGTGTTTAAATCGGTACTAAAAGGCCCCTCTTGCTGGCATCCATCTATATTCACAATCCACCCTCAAGAAAAGCAACAAAAGTCCCAATTTCTAGCAGGAATTTTTCATGTTCCAGACTGTGCACATTGCCTTGTGTTCTTTTGCTCATTCAAGAAGAGTGTGGCTTCATTTGGCTTTTGAATATATCACCTAGCAATGCAATATGAATAGACAGCTGAAAAACAAAGATTAGGAGTATTTACATATGAAGTCACCGTGTACTATCCTAATTACAGGAGTAAAAATCACGCCTGTGTGCTGGGAGATCCCGGCCCAACAAGGGACCCTTCCTCTCTGAGGATCACAGAATCACAGAATGTAAGAGATCTTCAAGAACACCTAGTCCAACCTCTGACCTAACACTAACCAGTCCTCCACTAAACCATATCACTAAGCACTACATCTAAATGTCTTTTAAAGACCTCCAGGGATGGTGACTCAACCACTTCCCTGGGCAGCCTATTCCAATGCCTAACAACCCTCTCGGTAAAGAAGTTCTTGCTAATATCCAACCTAAAACACCCCTCGCGCAACTTTAGCCCATTCCCCCTTGACCTGTCACCAGAAACGTGGGAGAATAGACCAACCACCACCTTGCTACAGCCTTCTTTAAGGTATCTGTAGAGAGTGATAAGGTCAACCCTGAGCCTCCTCTTCTCCAGGCTGAACAAGCCCAGCTCCCTCAGCTGCTCCTCGTAGGACTTGTTCTCCAGACCCCTCACCAGCTTCGTTGCCCTTCTCTGGACTCACTCGAGCACCTCCATGTCCTTCTTGTAGTGAGGGGCCCAAAACTGAACACAGTACTCCAGGTGCAGCCTCACCAGAGCCGAGTACAGGGGGGGAATCACTTCCCTAGACCTGCTGGCCACACTGCTTCTGATACAAGCCAGGATGCTGTTGGCCTTCTTGGCCCCCTGAGCACACTGCTGGCTCATATTCAGCCGACTATCAACCAATACTCCCAGGTCCTTCTCTGCCAGGCAGCTCTCCAACCACTCATCTCCCAGCCTGTAGCTCTGCTTGGGGTTATTGCACCCCAGGTGCAGGACCCGGCACTTGGCCTTGTTGAACTTCATGCAGTTGACCTCAGCCCATCAGTGTAGCCTATCCAGATCCTCCTGCAGAGCCTTCCTACCTTCAAGCAGATCGACACAAGCGCATAGCTTGGTGTCATCTACAAAATTACTGAGGGTACACGCAATGCCCTCGTCCAGATCATCGATGAAGATATTAAAGAGGACCGGCCCCAGCACCGAGCCCTGGGGAACGCCACTAGTGACTGGCCTCCAACTGGACTTGACTCCATTTACCACGACTCTTTGTGCCCGGCTATCCAGCCAGTTTCTAACCCAATGAAGCATGCGCCAGTCCAAGCCATGAGCAGCCAGTTTCTTGAGGAGATTGCTGTGGGAAACGGTGTCAAAAGCCTTGCTGAAGTCAAGGTAGACCACATCCACAGCCTTTCCCTCATCCACCCAGAGCATCACAGAGTGTCATAGAAGGAGATCAGGTTCGTCAAGCAGGACCTGCCTTTCATAAACTCATGCTGACTGGGCCTGATCGCCTTCCAGCCCACTCCTTCTCAATTTTCCACATTGCAGCTAACAGCCAGCTAACTCTCCTTCCTTCCTTTTCGCTTTCCTTACTGTACATGCATCTTTCCATTTATTAAATTCATTCCTTGAGGGATTTGGATTGTGGTGTATTGAGCTTAGCCATTGCTGCTTTGCACCTTGCCTTCCATTTCCAAGAAAACCCTTTCACAGTGGGGCCCATTTCTCAAGGGAACCATTCATTATTCTAACACAAGGCTCCTGCTGACTACACCCAGCTCTGTCTCCCAACACTACAGAGCACTGGCAGGTTCTCTACGGATCCTTGGCGGAATGAGGACCGGCCACTGGTTGTGGTTGTAACTAGAGATTTATTATTACATAACAAATTACTAGAAATACTAAAAATTACTACAAAATCCTAAAGCTTACTACAAATAAATTGCTAGTTTGATTACTAGCTTGATAACACCAATGCCCTTTCTCGCCACAATGGTGGGTATCTCAGCATGCTGGGGCCAGTGAGAGGGAGAGACAAGGAGGCAGGGGTGCACATTAACAGCCCCTTCCACATGATGGATATTTGCCTTGCTGTTGGTTATGCTAACCACACTGCCAGGCATCAGGAGCAGGGGCTGCCACTCACACCTGGCTCACCACAAGCCCCAGGTGTCCTTGCTGGGCAGGCTCAGCTCAGAGCGCTATGCAAACTGTGATGAGACGGAACTGCACCTCACAGCACCCGCACCTTCCTGTATAAAGCTGAAAGCTGAGGGCACCAGTGTGGGCTCAGTGCACACAGGTAGACAGTGCTGTCCTGGAGCTTGGCATCTTGCACGTGGAGAAGCACCTGGGAGTTCTCCATGGAGAGCACAGAGGAGATTCCTCTCAGAATGCACATGAGGCTTGAACTTGCTCATCTGCAGCAAGAACTGAGGGGACTGGGTCAGGCGCTGCTGGTACCAGAAGATGTAGGGAGCAGAGTAGCTGGTGGAGAAATTGCAGTGCAGAGTAGCGTTGTGTCCCACCTGGATGGCAGTTTCTTGTGCAAACTGCACCACAGAGTCCTTCTGTGCATGACCTGCAAAGCCAGAACAGCATCTCAGCACTGCTTGAAGATGTATCTGTTCTCCCCCTCTCTCTCCTGTGTCTATCAGCTCACCAACTTGTTCACTGTCCCCACTCTCCATCTCCCTTTTCATGGGCTATAAAATGCTGAGCTAAGTACACATGCACTCTTCTTTCTGCAGGTGCTATTCAATTCCCATACCCAAGTCTGTCAGCTTACCTACTTTTTAGGAGTATCTCACCAGGATTTGAGTCCTTATGTACCTGTGAACAATGCATGTATGAATGCTAGGCATCTGCAAAGGAAAAGTGTAGAAGCTTATTCATCCCTGTACACTCGTTGCTCCTGACATCTCCCAGACTGTCTCCCGTACTGGTCTGCAGCCCCTGCTCTCCCTACAGAAAACACTTCTAGTTCTTCCAGGAGGAAGGAGTCCAATTTCCCCCCTCCAGAAATGATGGGATGCCATCTTGACCCTAGCTTGCCCTGCCTCAAAGTCACATCTCACCAAAGCCTGACAGTGCCAACAAGGCTGCCAGGAAAAGCAGGACCATGTCACGCTCTCGCCTTCACAGGGTGCCCACGTAGTGCCTGGAAAGAGGGAGCTCAAGCTTGCAAGTTCACTTCCCCCTCTGCCAGCTCAAAGCAGCCTCTAAACCTCAGCACAGAGGGTGGAGCAAAGCTCTCCCCCTGCTGCTCCTTGGGGCCCACCTCTGCCCTAGCAAGGCTCTCAAGAGAGGGATGGACTAGTGGCTAAAGCAGTCAGAAAGGAATCCAGTCAGTCTTTGCTGTGCTCCAGGACCCCTTGGCCAGCCAGTATTGTTCCAGCACTGGGGGAGCATCACACTTGTGCAGTTAGCTCACAACTGCAGGCCTGTGAAGGCTAGGACATTTCACTTGGTCAGCTGTAAGGTAAAAGGACACCAACATGGCTGCTGTGTGCTTCCCTCTTTTTGCCCCTTCCAGCAGGTGGGCAGCCCCAGCAAGGGGCAAGTGTCCCCAGTGACCTCCCCCTCCCATCCAGAACCCAGGCCCAGACACAGAGGTCTGCACCCACCTCTGCTGTCAATGAAGATGGGATTGCTTCCCCCACCCCTTCCCCACAACCCCCTCGGAAAAGCCACGTTCTCTCAAGTTGGCAGGGAAGGACGCCCCACCACAGCCCTCTGCTCAGCAGTCAGCAGCTCTGCACACACACACAGGAGTGAATCCTGCACCAAGGACAGACCTTCAACAGCGCTGGCTAGTGCAGCAAACTCCTCTACAGGACTCAGTCCTTTGGCAAGATCCAAGGTTCCAATATGTGTCATTAGAGTGAGTGACCAGAACAGATATTTGTTGTATTGCCAGGACATCATCTCAGCACCAGAGGTCCTGGATTTGGGCTTAGGAAGAAACCTGTACAACAAGCTCTTGGAAAAAGAGACCACTGAAGAGAATGGAGGAAACCCAAGTGTGGCTGTTCTGATGCTCCCTCGGGCCCATGCTGTTTAACTCCAGGCCCTGCAAGGGGACTTCCAAGCACCGGCAGCGACCCCACGCGGCCCGACTGTGGCTGTGCCCCCGCCTCGCCCACGCCCCACCTGCCCGGCCCCACGCACTGCGGGGCACCCCCTGATGCCTCCAGCTGCACAGGCCGTTGGCTGCCTTTGCTGCAAGGGCGCGCTGCTGGCTCGTGTGTGGCTGGGTGCCTCCTGCACCCAAAAGCCTTTCCTGAGGGTCTGCTTCCTTGGCAGCCAGCCCCCATCCTGAATTACTCTGGGGGCTCTTCCTGCCCAAGAGGAAAATCCTTTTCTTTGCTCCTTTGCACCAAAATGAGGTTCTGGTCAGCCCCTTTCGCCAGCCAGCCTGTATTCTCCACAGCACATTTGTGACCTACACTGTCACCACCTGTGTGCCCTGGTTGGGGACCATGCACAAACTGACCGAGGGTGCCCTCCTTCGGACTGCTTGTGGCCCTAATGAAAGCATTCAGCAGGACTGGATGTCGGGCACTGCCAGCTGCTACTCAAGCAGAAGGTGCCCTCCATGCCAAAGCTGCAGGCTTGGTCCTCCGGGAAGGGCTCTCAGGAGCTATGAACACTGTGCCAGACAGTCAGCCATACTGAAGACTTCAAATGCTGAGAATTCATTTGGCAGCAAGGGGGAGTGGGATGGGGACACAGAAATTACTCTTGCTATTGTGTGATCCCTTTGCTGTGATATTCTACACATGGAGGAGTGACAGCTGCTCCTTTACCCTCAGGCGAACCAGCCAGTCCAGGCAG